CCTCAGAGCAAATAAGCCACATGTCCTTGATCGAGTTCTTTCATCTACCTTTGCATCACAAAGATGACTCTGTAAATCTGCTCCTTGCCTCCGAAAAATAGTTTGTGAGTATTGTCTTGCCAAACATCTAAAAACAGTCAAAGCAGCAGCAACTTAGATGTTGTTTCACTGTCTCCACTACTGGCAAATAGGTACCTGCTACTCCAGGCTCAATCACCCTGCCCCCTTCTCTAGCTGTGCTTCTTACTCTCTTTGTCTCCTTCATCTTTAAGGGTGTTGCCACAGCAACCACTGTCACCAGAAGAGGCAAGATAGTGTCACCCACTCTGCTCCAAGAAGCAAGTTAGAGCTAACCTTGGGAAAGGTGAACTAACAAGATTCCCCGCACTCCTCAGCCCGCTCAGTTCTTTAATGGGGGATCACAGATCATTAACAGCAGCAGCAGCAGTAGACAGAATGAAGCAGCATGTCATCCTACCTGGACAGCACAAGCCCTGCATCTTCACGGTACAGCAGGGATGTTGTGCGACAAAAACAATCATGTGCATATCACAGCAGCACTGCTAGAGTCACTTTGTTCACATGCATAGCCACAGGTACTCAGAATTCTGTCGATACTCCATGGCAGGGAAACTTAAAAAGGGCCTGAATCCTAAAAATCCTAAATATGAACCCAAAAGGACACCATTCTTGCCTTTGTACAGACATGAATCCTAGGCTTTGTAAGCTCCCTGCTTGCTTCAGAGGCACAGAAGACGAAGGGAGACAGGAGTTAGTGCAACTGCTTCTAAGTGGAAACAAAGGGGCCTGAGCTCCCCAGGCGCCCTCCTATCCCTGCTGACATGTTCCCCCCCTAATGTTAAATGAAGGTCACTGCCAAAGGACCTTCGAGAGATCACTGCATGCCCCGGTGCCCCCGGCAGACCCTGCTCTGCTGCTTTGGGAGCACTGTTGGAATCAGTTCAAGTCTTTCAGTGCAGCAGCCGGCTGCAGTCAAACAGCTTCAGAAACTCACTCAAGGTCACCCTCAAGATCATAGCAGAAATAGAACTAGGAATCCCTCCTCCAGGTTCTACAGACACGCATTCTTCTCCTAATCCATGGAACACAACCCACAGATACCTTCCATTTCAGATGCCTCCTAAGAGGAATCGACCCCCAAGCCCCCTGGTGTATCCCTCTCCCCGTTTCCTGGAATAGCAGTGCCCCCACTGGAGTCACAGGCAGATCTCTTGGCCTTGCCAGCTCACGGTGAGTCAACAGCCCCAGCCCATTCCCCCCAGCAGGGGCTGCCACTGTTTAATGAGTGGTTATTTGTGGTGCTCTGCACACGGCTTGGAGCTGCGCCTTCACCCCATACTGAGGGGAGCGGGTGGGGAAGAGGGCAGTGCCAAAGCATCATTTATTACTATAATCTTCAATGTGCATCCCACCCTGGCTTTAACATCTCAAAATAAACATACTCATCCTCCCATAGCCTACAAAGCAAACACTCAGTTGGATGGCTCTTTGTGGGAGGGAGTTAGTACCAAGGACAGCAGGTCAGTAACCAACCTCTCTCTTCCCTGGTGGGGGCTGGGAAGCCGAGGTGGGCACACCTGCAGGAGTCACCCAGATTGAAGCAGTAACCAGGCTTCAGGGAGAATGGAACAAGAGCTAGGTTTCAAGGCACTTGTTTCTAGGCACCTGTAGGGATCTAGATCTCTTTGAAGAAGTGGTTTTGGATCTGATTCTGACTTGGCTTACTCATGCAGGTAAAATAATCCTGGGGCAAATCGAGCCATTTTGAGCAGCAGTTCTGGAGGACAGATTTAGAAAATCATGCACTTAGGATTCCAAAATCCCAGTAGCCTCTCACCACTTACTTGGCCTGTCTAACAAATTCTTTTTTTCCCCCCTCCTTCTTAGTTTTCTCCTCCCAAAGCCTTTGTACTCTCCCTGGAAGTCAAGTGGCCAGATACAAAAAGACTACATGTCCTGCATGGTTGGTCATCAGGTACACTAATTTTACTCAGACACCTGCTTGACTGCACTGGGTCGGGCGAGTCAGATACTTTAGAGTGAAGAATTGTTCTCTTTTCCTTCTTTTCAGAAAAAGGGCCTGTGCTCTGGTCCTCGATGCTATGCAGTTATGGGAATCAATGATAGGTATCAGAAACGAAGGACCTAGGAAAAGAGTCCTCCAGCTTCCCGTTCTTTCACTCCTATTCACTTATCCCCTTGGGCAGGTTCACTGCACCCACTGTGAAGGGGACCAGGCATCCTGTAAGGAAGGGTAGATGGTACTTGCCCTGTCAGTATTCTACCCAAATGTATCCCACTGATAAATTTCAGCCTGCACTGGTCTCTCTTCTCTCTCTGTCATCTTGTTCAGCATTTATTATTATATCATGCTGCTTAGATTTCCTATAGGAAATATTTGTAATATAGTCCTTAAAAGTTGCATGTTAATTAAATCAATCTATATTCACTGGGGTAACACGATAAAGAAGTCTTATGACAAATTCTTCTGGGATGAGAAATCACAGTTCTGTGCCTTAGGCAGTGAGCTTCATCCTAGGAGGAGGATTGCTGGAAAGAGCCTCAGGGACTGAATGCATCTCCCCTTCCCATCCTTCACTGAAACTAGTGAAAATTTATTCAACTGGAGGAGGAGACTGTGCTGCACAACACTCAAGTGCTGCCTGCAGCTGTGAATGCAGACAAGCTGGAGAGGAGGCCCTGCGGCTCTTCTGCCCTGTGAGCGCGCGCGCAGACACACAGAAATGCTCTGCTGCAGTGCTGAGGAACAGCAAGGGGCCACCGAAGGAGAGCCGGGACCCTCCCAGCTGCCCCCACAGAACCTCTGCGCTTTTAATTTTGGGGGGTCTAGAGACTACTTCTTCAGTTGAAATGGGAATCTTTAGAGAGATCCCTAATCTTCTCATTTCATGCAGTTTCTCTGAAGCAAGAAAGTAAGCAGGTGGGGGAGGTGAAGCTTATATAAGATTCATGTGCACAGGGCTTTCCTGGGCTGAACACAGAGTGTTCACAGAGTGAACACGGAGCAAGGAGACCCTGGGGCTACACTGGGAGGACTGAAGCAGGTTGGAGTCTCCCTGGAGCTGCAGAGCTCTGGGCAACACTTCCGCTTTCCATTATACTTTACAAGAGGAAGAAAACAGGCTGGGTCCTGGCCTCTAAGGACGCAGAGACCCTCCGGGGATCTGGTTCGGAGACAGCTGGCCTCTGTGTACAGTCTGGTGGCTGCTTCTGGATTTTATAAATACTCATCCCCAAAGCCAGGCTCAGCTCTGTACTAGGAGGCAGCTTCGATGGTATATGGCTAGTTAGAACCAGTTTCTCCAGCCACCTGGGAGGCCAAGCAGCCCGGCCCGTGCTGACGGCTCCTCTCTGCCCGAGGATCCCACCCTCCTTTCACTGAGTTCCCGACTGAGTGCAGCTGCTGGGTTGGGACTTGACCCTGCCTTCACACAGTACGGAAACAGCTTTGTCACTCCACCAAACATCCCCCGAAACGTCGGCCCCTGGAGTGAGTCCTGCCGGGAGACTGGGCACTCCCCCAAAAAGCACAGGCTAACCACACTGCTTCACGCTGGCACGGCCTTCAGGTCCCACACTCCCAGGGGATGGCTTAAAATGCAGCTTTCAGATTTAGAAACACTGGAGGGGCTGCGGAACTCTAGACCTCAGTGACAAGAGTGCAGAGAAAACCTCTCTTCTCGTTCGAGGGCTGAAGGAGGGAAGAGAAAAGGACACTGAACCACTTGTCCTCCTCCTCGCAGCAGGCGGCCACGGCCACGGCCACGGCCACAGCCACGGCCACAGCCGGCCGAGGCGCTGGAAACCACTCTGTCCGTCGTCGGCTCCCAGACTCGCTGCATTTCCCACGGCAAACTCAGTGGACATGGCAACCAGGGCAACGCGGCGGCTGGTCCCGGTTGGCTCCCAGCACAGCCGCGCCCGCGGGAGCCAGCGGAGCCCCGACCAAGGACGGAGACTGAGCCGAGACCTGGGCCCCAGGGCGCTGGCTCTGCACGCCCGGCCCCCGAGGAGCCTTGCACCAGTTCTCTGCAGCCTGAGGTGGACGAAAGGAGCAGGCGGACGCTTGAGTGCCTGCTCTGCGCCCGGCGCTGCGCCCGGCGCTGGTCCGTGTGCTCGGCGCGCGCATTCTGGGGGGATCGCGGGAACAACCCGGGTTTCCCTCACTTAACAGGTCAGACGCCGGGTGAAGCCTGCAGAGCGTCGCCGACCTGCCTGAGGCCACACAGCGCTGAAGCCGCGGGCCGGAGCGCGGCTCTGGCAGCTGAGGGGACTGGACGCGGGGTCCCAGGAGCCAGGAAAGGGCCGCGGAGGCCAGGCTTGCGGCGCCCGGGCCGAGCTCGCCTGCGAGGGAAGACCCCTGCCCCGGGGCGCGGGGTGGGGGCTCCCTCGGCTTCTGCCGCGGACTGGGTTCCGGGGACGGAGGCTCTGGCCGGTGGACCCCAGGGAGCCGCACCAAAGGCCCCGGGCGCGGCCGGCGCGGCCGAGGCGCCTCTGAGCACCGGGAGGGAGCGACCGGTGGGTGCCACCTTCCTCAAGGGGGGCGAGGGGCCGCCGCCGCGACGACGCCTGCCGTGGCTGAGGCGGCGAGAGAGCAGCCCGCGACGCGGACTCGGGACACGCGGGCGACCGCCTCAGGAGTCGGGGTGCAGGGGAGCCCGCGGCCCCAGCTCAAGGCAGGCTCGGGGGCGGCGCCGAGGACCTCAGCCCCCACGCGCCACCCACAGTGGGGACTTGCAGCCTCCCTGCCAGTCACCTCCCGGGGCCCGAGGCGGGAGGGTCTCCGCGGCTGGGGCTGCGCGCCCCGCTCGCCCCGGGACCCGGAGCCGCCCCCGTCCCCTCATCACCCGTCACCCCGACAGAAGCGGCCTCCTCCTCGCCCCCTGAGGCACGTCCTCGACCCCTCGACCCCCTCGTCCCCCGGGCCCCCGGGCCCCCGGGCTCGGAGCGCCTCTCACCTCGCTCATCGCGGCGGCTGACAGAGCGGGCGGCACGTGCAGTGAGGCGCGGCCCTGACCGCGGCGAGTCGCCGCTCGGCTCGGGGGCACGGCCGCCGGCGGGGCGAAGAGAGTCAGTGCGGGTTCCGGGCCCCGTGCCGGCTCTCGGCGCTCGCTCCCCGCCCGGCGCTCGCTCGGCGGTCGACCGGGTCCCAGCCGTCCTGTCAGAGCCGCTCCGCTTCGCTCCGGCGCGCCTCGCGCCCCGCCTTTTATAGCCAGCTCGGGACCCGCCTCCAGCCCGACCAATGGGAACTCCTCTGCCTCAGAGTGACAGCCCCTCGCAGCCAATGGAGGCAGGCTCAGAGGTCTGCTGCATTTCCAACTAGGGTAAGAGAGTCGGAGCGCGGGAAGGAGGGGGCGCCGTCGCGGACGAGAGCGCGGAAAACGGAGCAGGGGGAGCGAAGGCGGAGAGGGAAGGGGCAGCACGCGACGCAGGCAGGGCGCAGGGGCGGCGTGTGCGCCTGAGGAAGCGAGCGAAGAGGGTGCATGGGAAGCGGAAACAATGAATGAGTGCAGGGGGTAAAGCCCACAGACGTCGCAGATTACGATTTGGTGACAGGATGGCAGGGAAATTGCAAAGTGTCTGATTTGGAAGATCGTAGATCCTAGGAGTTGAAAGACATTTAGGGTCTATCAATCCTCCGTCCTACATCATGAAAAACAAAAACCAAAAAACCCTCTCCAACCAAAGGACGATCCCCTGACACCCACCTAAGCAGGGAACGCGCTCCTCCCACAAGCCGATTCGTTCAATTCCAATGCGACCAGGTGCCTCCGCTGTGCCAGGCCCGGCGGGCGAGCTGTAAAACAGGGAGACGCGCCAATGGCCTCGCACCCATTCTTGCCATTAAAATGGGTTTCGGCGTGCAAGTCTGTCCCCCAGAGTCTTGTCTGTGTCTTCCAGCAAGTCAGGTAGCAACCCACTGGGTGGTCCATGTCCCGGGACCAAAACGAGCCCCGCAGGCTCGGCCCAGGTGTGGGCACCAGGTGTGGAAGTCCAACCTACGTAGACTATTTCTCACTACGATGGAGCTTCACTGAATACCTACTGTGATGTAGAAGTTTTAAGGAAAAAATATGAATAGAGCAAGAAGAAGAGAAATAGAACATCTCAGTAAATGTCATTGACCTTAACAGCTACTCCTGTGTATCTGAGTATCTGGCCTTCCTTTCTGCTTTAAGGAAATCCTTCCAATTCTCCTGCCGGCGACACCTCCAGGCATTGTAAAGTCTGTCCGCCTACTCACAGGCACTGTCATCCGAAGCCAAACGCCTTCCTTTTGATAGTTCCCTGCCTGGCCTGCCTGCCTGAGTTGTTCACAGCGGAGCGTCCCTCACCCAGCAAACCACGGCTCTCTTCCCAACACCAGGTTCAGGGAAGAGCTCAAGCAGCCTTCCTCCGCCTCCAGCCTCTGCGCCTGCACGTCTTCTCTGCCAGGCCAGAAACGGAGAAGAGAAAAAAGGCTGCGCCTTCCCCCGCCCCCCTGGATCCTCGGACTCTCACTTTCCAATGGAAACCTGGTACCTCAGCGACTAGTTTCTGGCCGGGGGCTCCTGCACAGCCTCTGCAGCCTACCCCTCTGGCTTCCCGCTGCTCTCTAATGAATGGCTAATTAGCACAGAAAAGGCTGCAGACCCTTAGGGCAACAGACACCTCCAAAGCTGTTAAACTGCTCTGCAAAGAGTACCAAGGGAATTCAAGACCCTACATCAGAGGTCAGCAGGTTTTCTCTGGAACAGCCAGAGAGTGAATACTTATGGCCTCTGGAAACTCCAAGTCTCTCCTTAGAGTTTGAAAGCAATCATAAACAACATGGAAGCAAATAGGTGTGGCTATATTCTAGTAAAACTTTATTTTTGGACACCAAAGTGTGCATTTGATATAATTTTCATGTATTATTAAATATTCTTTTTTTCTTTTAACATTTTAATTTTAAAAAAAAAAGCCCTGGCTGGCATGGCTCAGTGGATTGAGTGCCAGCCTGTGAACCAAAGGGTCACTGGTTTGATTCCCAATCAGGGCACCTGCCTGGGTGGCAGCAGGTCCCCCATAGGGGGCGCATGAGAGGCAACTGTACATAAATGATTCTCTCCCTCTCTTCCTCCCTCCCTTCCCCCTCTCTAAAAATAAATAAATAAAGTCTTTAAAAACAAAAACAAAAACTTCTTAGTTCAAATTCTAAACTAAAAAAAAAAAAAATTCTTCGCTCAAAGGCTGTGTGAAACACGCTGCAGGCCAGATTTGACTAAGAGGCCACTGACTGCTCATCCTGCCATAGGTGATTAAATGCCCAACCTCAGTACCACAGTAAGTTATATAATAAAGAATAGTAGGTCCCAGAAGAAAGATTTTGTTCAGGACCAGAAGAGTCAAAAGTTCCCTGGGGAAAATGGGGTTGGATTGGACCTTAAAAGAAGGTTAGAACTCAGACGAATGGTAGAAAGGAAGGAAGAGGAAAAGGCGGGTCTGTCTGGCATCTGGTGATAAGAGAAAGTGATGAAAGGAGACTGAGGTTTATGACGTGGAAGCTGCGGGATGTATCAGAACAAGGAACTTAAACCGACCCTTCTAGAAATAGCATCTTTAGATTATTCTCCCTGGGGAAACACAGGAATGACCTGACAACAGAAGCAGTCAGAGCAGGGGGACCAAGGCGGGGACCCTGTCACTGTACCAAGGGCAAGAGTCTGGGTGAGGATAGTGACAATAACGGAAGAGAAGGGACATGGAGAAACCTAAGGCATCAAGACCCTGTAAGACTCGGTGACTGACAAGATTTAGGAGAGACTCAACGTGACTTTTGGAATTCAGCACCAGAGAGTTCAGAGAGTTCTTTAATTACTCATTGGCTATGAAGCCCACAGTATGGGCAGGATCCGCGCTGGGTGCTGGGGAAAGAAGGCTCACAGGACGCAGAGCTCACAGTCCAGCAGGGGAGAGCCGGTCACGGGAATGCAAAAGCGCAGTGCTCTTACGGGGGCTCTGCTCGTACAGGTGCCGCGGTAGACGTCTGGGCAAGGGCAGTCAGTGTCCAGAAAAAGGAATCGAACGAGATTTCACCTCAACAGGCATCAGACGAAACTACTAAGAACAGCAAGATCCCCTGGAACTGGGGTTGTAGGTTTTGGAGACGAATGAGGACGGTCACCAAAATCGGGAACGGGAAGGTACGCTGTAAACTGCGGTGTTACAATGTTAGCTCTTTTTACATTTACCAGAGTCTCATGAATAGATGAACTGTCAGGGAGGAACACAGAAGAAGGAAGATAGGGCGGCCGAAACTGAGCCTTAGAGAAAAGCCTATAGTTTTTCCTAACACAGAGGCTTAGGAAAAAGGGAGGTTCCGTGGTGGAGAAAGAGAAAAAGAGCTGTTAGAAACAAAGGTGGAGAACCAGGAAAGCATAACATCAGAGAGGCTAGTGAGAAAGATTTTCAAAGGACACAATGTTGTCAGGGCGTCTAAGCAGCAGGACGGTGGGCTGGGGGAAGCGTAAGGGAAAGCATGTTGCAGTCCACAGGCCGCGGGAGATCGCTGGTAAAGGTAGACAAAGAAGATTGGAACCAGGTTACAAGGTGCGAGGAAATGAGGCAGCCCGAACACTCCAAGGACGTGTTTGTGCCAGGACCTGGGGGCACAAACAGGGCAGCGCAGACCCAGCCTGGAAACCTGGCTCAAGGGAGTGAGGTTGCCACATGTCAAATGCAAACGTGGCAGGTAGGGAGAGCAGGTACCAACGGTTCACAAGTCAGAAAGGAGTCAGGAATCAGGGCATGTTGTCGCAGGGCAGCAAAGGGTCGTCGGCCAGGAAAGCCCCCCTGAAGGGAAACAGGAACGTGTCCGGATGACAGCGGGGACCTGGTGCTGCTGGGACGTGCCTGGCACAAAGCAGATGCCTGTTAGACGTTTGCTGAACGAATGACTGCATCACAGGCAATAACACGATGCCACATGGAAAGAGCAGGCATTCGGAATCAGACTTTCATTCATATCCTCACTCATTTAACTTATAAATTCCATAAACCCTCATTATATGTGCCAGGAGTACGCAGACCCTAAGGACCCCAAAATAAAAGCCTCCCACCACTCACAGCTGATTGACATCACTCTGCAACGTGTGGGTGCTGTGGCGAGCACGTGAGCAAAGGCACAGCTCTGCCCGCCCCCCCACCCCGCCGGCGCCCCCAGGTGGCCCTCTGCTCAGGCCTGAAGGGCGAGTGGATCAGATCTCGGGTCGGGAGTTGGGGTGGGGGGTTGGCCTAGGGGGAGGTTCCCACCAGATGGAATAGCGAGGGCAGGTGTTGGGAGGTGAGTGAGCGCAGCTCGTTCAGGAAGCCCTGAGCCAAAGCGTGATGTGTCGGGTTCAGGCAGGGAAGCAGGGTTGGAGGGATACCTAGGGGCCCGATCACCAAGGACTTCACGTGACACGCTAAAGAGACTGGATTTTATCCTGAAGGCGATGGGACGCAAATGAGAATTTTAAGCAGGGAAGAGACATGATTAAATGTGCATTTTAGAAACAGCGAGAACACGGAGGATGGGCTGGCAGCAGGAAGAACGATGACTAGGCGGCCGCAGCATAAGTGGGATGTGACGAGGGCCCGAACCAGCCAAGAGGCAGCGGGCGGCCGGACCGGAGACGAGAAGGACGGGGAGACAGAGAGGAGGCAGGCCCTGCGCAGCTCCGGGCTTTCTCCTGCCGCCGCTCCCCGCCCGGAACGTCGCGCCCCACCAAGCACGGTCTGCCCGTGCTTCCAGCGAGCCCGCTTTTCTCTCTGGCGTCTGGACCCTCTCGGATCGCACCCTGGGCTGGAACTGGACAAGTCCTCGGTACCCTCACAAAAGTCATGTCAGTGGTCACTCCTCCAGGGAGCCCCTCCTGCCTCCTCCTCGGCGCCCCGTGACCAGAGCAGGACTAGCTGTCCCCCTTCCGTCCACAGCCCTGTCGGTGACCCGACTACGTTCCTTAAGATCTGCTTTGAGGTCTGGCTCCCCAGCAGCGCGTCTGAACTCCATGCCCTGGCCGGGTGGCGCAGTTGGTTGGAGTGTCGCCCCAAACACCAAAATGTTGCGGGGTCGATCCCCGGTCAGGGCACATACCTAGGTTGTGGGTTCAGCCCCCCCTGGGGTGTGTATGGGAGGCAACCAATCAATGTTTCTCATACCTCTCTCTCTCTCTCTCTCAAATGCATACCATATCCTCCGCTGAGGATTAAACAAATACTCCACCAGGACAGGGAACATCTTATCCATCTTTTTATCCCTAGAGACTCACACAGAGCAGGCTCTCAGCCAGGATTTGTTGACTGAATGAGTCCGTAAGGGTTCCGACAGTCACAGTGGCCCGCAGATGCCACCCAGTGCACACACACCGCTAAACGGGCCGTCGCCCGCAGGACCCGGGCTGAGCGCCTGCGCCTGGGACCTCAGTTACATGTCATCGCTGGATGTTGTACTTGGAGAAGGGGTCGCCCTCTGCATTCTCGGGACGTAAACGGGGCTCCTTTAACCTCAGTCTCTTCTTCTCTTCGTGCGTGTTTTTATGACTCTAGCCTGCACGTTGGTTCTTAGCTCATCTGGAGAGCAACGTTGCTTATAATTTAATTCTTAACTGAAGCAGCAGAAGGCACAACAGCTCGTTTCTAGTGGGAGAGGGTGGTGTCGGGGCGGAAGCAGCCAACACCCAGGGGCAGAGGCAGGGACAGGGACTTCCCGTCGGGAGACGGAGAACCGCACTTCATCCCGCAAGCGCGGGGTCAGACGTGTCCAACACGGTGGCCGCCCATCCCCCACACACCCGAACAGCTTCTGAAATTACGCTCTCTGATCAGAGATGTTGAGATGTGGAGATGTACGTCTGCAGCAATACTCCTCACTGTCGGGAAGAGAGAAAGCGGGAGAGGAGCCCACGGCGGCTGCCACGCAGGCCCTCCAGCCGCGCCCCGCGCGGAGTGGAAGACGTTCGCCTGCGCCCCCGCCCTGATCCGCGCTGGATCCGGAGGGGCGTGCAGACAGATTTCTGCATCAGTGTTATCGCGTCCAGGGGCTGGGACTGGGGGGAGCTCTGCAGTATTTAATGGGGCCCAGAATGGAGTGTCTCAGCCAGTCCAAGGGGAGCTTCAGACCAGTGCAGTCGGCAGACGCAGTGATCCTGCCGCCGCATTTATCGGCGCCGGCGCCGGGGCAGCAGGCGGGGCTGGCACCGGCGTGGGCACTGGCACAGCCTGCGGGCGCTGGCACAGCCTGCGGCAGCCTCATCCCCGGCCGCGCCAGAAACCCTCCGCTGAGGCAGCAGCTGTTCTCACGTGCCGCCCTGGGATTTGCCTTGTCCGAAGCCAGGGCTCTCTTCTGTCTGACGGTTGCTTTCTTGATTTTGTTTGCCGTGGAACAGAAATTACGGCCTGAGATGTGGGCCTCCACCTTAATTACGGATGTAATTCCGTGTACCTCGGCTGGGACTCCGAACACGGTAGCACAGCTGTCATGGAGACAGGCGTTATTGCCAAAGCCCTTTCATTAAAGATGAAAACTTCAGTTTTTGCTGTGATTTGTACTCACCTAAATTTAGATCATCACAAAGAAGGACGTGCGTTCAGGCAGATGCTGTGCGAGGCAGAGGGAACCACAGCAGTTGCCTCGCTGAGGAAGAAGATCCTAATGTAATTTCCTGGGAATTCTTTTATGTAGTGTTCTGTATGGCATTGTAAACGGTAGCGGTTTTGTTTATTCATTAGAGGAGGAATACATGAGTGATTTGAGCTCCTATGAAATACGATTAAACCAAGAAAGAAAGAAAAAAAAGAGTCCCAAACCAATGCCAGCTGCCTCCGGTTTAATAGAGACCAGCAAGTCCTCAGCCCTCCCTAGTTAGGAGGCAGGACCTTGGCATGGGCTGTTCCGCAGGCCCCAGTCTCTCAGAGCTTCCCTTTGGGGAGCCTTGGGCAGCTGTCACGCCTGCCCCTGTAGGCACTATGCGTGTGAAAAAGCTTGCTGTCTCCCCCTCTCTGCCCAGCGGGCCCAGGACCTATACCCAGAGGAGGCTGCTGATGTAGCCTGAAGCTCAGCAGGAGTGAAAATCTCCACGGTCTGATTAGAAGCAGCTTCCAATGAGCCATGAGGTCCCCACCCACCAGAGTCCCTCCCCAAGTGCCAGCAGGCAGCACCGCAGGCCTTTGCCCTGGGTCCGGAGTCTGTGCCCTCCTGGGTAGTCACTGAGAGCAGCTGGTGGCCACACACAACAGAAGGTCCTTGTTTTCCAGGTACCGAGGGCCATAACCCCTACCTCCAAACGGGCAGCTCCCGAGATCACGGGGAAGGCAGGGGCGGAGTGCAAGTTTGGGGAGACGCGTCCCACGCCAGAGTCCATGGCCTGCAAGGGAAGCGCTGCCTCAGAGAAGGCAGGCACTCTCCTGGGGGCCGAGACCGGCAGCAATGAAGTGCAGCAGATGAGGCAGGGGCTGGGCGCAGGGCACATCCAGAAGGGTGCCCTGCAGGAGAGGGCAGAGGGGGTCAAGGGCGGCCCAGAGCAGACAAGACGGCCACCCTGCCCACGTTCAGGGGCTGTGACAGTCGCCCCGGCGCCAGAAGGCACGGCCAGTGGGGATGCTGAGCCGAGAACTGGGTGGAGCGTGGGCCGGGCCACGGGCTGCCACGTCCACACCCGGACTGTGGGGTGAGTCTCCTCCCCCGTGGAAACAGCCCTGCCACATGCCCAAGCTTGTCCAGCTACATCCCTCCCGCACCCTGGAGCCTGACACCACGGCTAGCTCACGCCATGTCGCCCACCTCCACGCTACCGACGGCGTGGTAACAGAGCGAAGGCCGATGCCCGTCCCACGGACACAGCCCCTCGGTCATGGGCACCAGGCTTTCCTGAGCGGCCCTGCGCCTCCACGCCAGTGCTGGAGGGCGTGGCGCCCTGTGCACCCGGAGGGGCCCGTGGGCACAGCTCAGACTAGCGAAGCCATCGGGGCCCCTCACGTACACACCCGCTCACTGCCATCCCCACGCTCACGTCTCGGCCTCCCGCAGACGGACACCTGGCAGGAGCACCGGGGGGCTGCCTCTCCGCTGGGAGCTGCGAGGCCACCCGGGCCCAGAGGCGCCGCTGCCCAGCCTGCAGGAGGCGGACATGCCCGGATGCCGGCGGGAAGCAGAGCAGAGTGAGCCCCTCCCGTCGCCTCTCTGCTCTTCCCCGTCCCCACGGAGCTCTCCCCCGACAGCAGGCAGAGTGAGCTCCCAGCACAAGTCAGACGATGTCACCATTCTGCTCGGAACCTCCTGGGGTTCCAGCTCTTCCGGCCCCTGATCCCACGGTCTAGCTCCTCCATGCCGCCTCTCGCGACTCTGTCCCCGGCTCAGTGCACCCCAGCCGGACGCGCTCCGGTCCACCCTCAGCCACGCCTGCGCTGGCCCTGGCCGTTCCCTCTCCCAAAACGCTCCCTCAGAATGAGCGTGGCTGGTTTTTTCTCTTCTATCTCACATATAGGGCCTGTCACTTAGAAGGTACTCGATAATTGAATTATTTTGTGCCCTTTCTGTGTGCCAGGCGCTGAGGCAATGCCCCCAACAGACCCTGTAACTGGGGTCCACACAGGTCAACTTGCCCAAGTTCACTCTGCTTTAAAGCTCTAGCCAGTGTTTAGACTCACCCGTCTGGCACCCCAACCCTCGCTGTCTCCATGACCTTGGACCTGTCACTGGACTCTCAGCCTGTTTGCGTTTCTGAGAAACATGACCACCACCTACGAATAGCACATCCCGTGCCTCCTCATAGGATTGCTTCATCCCCTCAGATGTGACCGCCCAGCCTTTGAAACTACAACACTCCACAAACAGGAGGCGATGTTCTAAGTAGGAAGATCCTGCTTCGATGTTCCCGCGGAAGCCAGACCTCCTTACAGGCCCCCAGCCCAGTGCCCTGCTCTCTGCAGCCCCGCCGAGCCCCAGGGGCTGGGGCGTGTGGACAGGACCCCCGCCGCCTGGAGCCTCTGGAGACCTCAGGGCTCGCGCCCTGCACCCTTCACTGGGCAGGGCGCCCGGCGTCGAGACCGGAGGCTGGCAGAGAAGCACTGTGTGCTGGCGTCCGCAGCTTTGCCGCATCTCTCGCCCAGGCACAGCGGTTCTGCCGGAAGCAGCCCAGGCCCTGCAGCGCACGACGCGGGCCCAGCCCCGGACCCAGCGAGCTCCTGCGCAGCCGAGGAAGGAGCAGGAAGAGCTTGTCCAGACAGAGTCGGGGGCCCACGCCCACCACAGGGACCCCGTGCTGGACCAGTGTGTACAGTTCGGGGCGGGCACTTACAGGACTTGGGCTGGAAGGTGACCCAAAGGGTGACCAAGGAGGACGGCCTGAGGGAGGGGGCCGTGTGTCCTGCACCAATTCAGAGGACAGGACTTCTCCAGGCCCGGCCGAGGCAGGCTCCTCGCCCCGGCCCTCCCAAGGCTGGAGAGAACAAAGGGAGAGCCCGGCCCGGCCCGGCCCTGACTCTGCAGCCCCCCACCCATCAGTTCGCTTGCCCCTGCGCGCCCCCCACCCCGCCCCGCCCCGCCCCTGCGCGGCTCTGCTCACGCACTTTGCAGATGTCAACGCGTTCATGGTACAGCACGTCATCCGGTTCACCAAGGACCTCCCCCCACCTTCAGGAGGAACACGCTGCCCCCACCCCCACCAACAGAAACGAAAGGAAACAAGCCCCTGACCACACTAACCCACCGCTCAGCCTTTCCAGGCACCGGGCCTTGAATTGCCAACTTTGGTTCCCTGTCTCAGTCAGAAGTGGGAGGCCCTGCGTCCTGCCCCCGCAGGCCCCTGACTGTGCAGCTCCAGGTCTGCCTTCTCAGGGGAGAGGGCGTCATCGGTCACACGCACTCAACGCCACTGCGTGTCTCCAGGCACAGGCCTTCGCCTGGGGGCTCCCGGCTGCACGGGAGAACGTGGGGCCCTCAGTGGGGTGGCGCCAGAGCAGTGTGGGACGTGTGGCCTTGTGGCTGGCCTGAGGCAAAGGCCCCCGAAAGCCCCGAGACCTGGTCCCCCCACAGTGGGGTTCCAGAACGAGTTCTGAGCACTTCTCTTTCGCTTCCACGGGGCACCGAGGGGACTGCAGCTCCGGGAGCCTGCGTATGTGCTCGCGGCTGCGCGGCCCCCTCCTTGCCTGGAGAGCAGCCCCAAAGCCCAGAAGTTTCTCCCGACACCTCTGCCCACCTCCCAGCGCCTCAAATCCGTCCATCCCAGGCCCGTGAGACCTCCAGCCTCAGCCCTCTGGGGCGCGGTGCAGGCTGACCCAGCACACCTGTCCTTCCTGCTCCCTCTTGCAGACCCGCAGGTTAGCCAGAGGGAGGAGACTGACCAGGGGCAGCCCCCTCCTGCACTGGCCCTGTGGAGCTACATCAAAGGCCGGCCCCAGGGAAGGAAGCGGTTAGGGGCCAGTGAGCTCAGCTTGGACACTTCACTGTCCTTTCCTCTGGGATCCGTGGTCCCTTGGGGTCCACTCCTTCCCTCCCATCTCATGCGTTCCAGCACCCGAACAGCTCCTGCGGCGGCCTCCTCTCACTTTTTCCAGACTTTTATTCAGTGGAGATGCGAAGTAGTTGCTCACAGCCTGTATCACGGCATTCCTGAGACTGATGGCCTCCTCCCGCTCGCTCCCCCATCCAACCTCCCTGGACCAGCGGCGTTCGCGGAGTGTTCACGCTCCGCCCTGGGCCTTTGCCCTCCTCTTCACCGGGCCCGTCCTTCCATTGCTCATGCCCACGAGGTGATGCTCATTCACAGCTTCACGGCCAAAGCCCCCCGCTCAGCAGGCCACCTCCCCCGCCTGAGTGCGCTGCGCCCACTGCTGCCCGCCCTCCACAAGCCGTTCTGCCCAGAGAGGGGTGCTTTAGACTCCAGGACACACCCGCCTCCTAGAAGCTGCTCTCCATGGCCAGGCCCTCAGATTCCAAACAGCTGGAGCCCTCGCCAAGTCTGAGGCTTTCTTCACACGTGGCCCTCTGAGCTCTGGGTGCAAGACAAACGGCACGTGCGCGAAGACAGTGTCACACAGAGAGGCCCCTTGGGGACCTCTGAGAAATCTGTCACCCCAGAACACGGTTTTCTCTGGCAGTCGGACCTAGCCTAACTGAGGGGCAGTTCGGAGGAGGGGGGTGGGCAGGACAACACTCTCAGCTGCTTTATTTCCTTCCTTTTCCTGGTGACCTCACTACTTCCTGCCCCTGAGGTCTCTGTGTGCAAAGCTGCTGGGCCTGCTGGCTGTGCTCCGGAGCATCAACAGCACATCCAGGGACGTCTGCCAGGATGCCTCTGACCCAGGACCTCTGCGGCTGGGCTGGCCGCCTTCACAGCCCACCTGGACACCTGGGGCTGGGAAGGGCGAAGGCTGGGACCAGAGGCCAGGACCAGGAGGGAGGGAGCCCACGGTTCCGGCGAAAGGCTAAAGCAATAACCGCCTCGCCTCGCGTCGCGGCGGGGCGGGGGTGCACGGGGGAAGGTTGTTCTCTGGAAGCACGGAAGACAGGGAAGGAAGATGCTCCTTCTGGGGATGCGTGGCCCCACTTTCTGAGGTCAAGACTCGATCCCAGCCTCGGAAGGCTCTGGGCCGGGAAACAGGATGGCACCAGTCCTACGCAGGGCGCTCTGCTCTGACAAGGAGGCGAGGAGCTTTAATCCACAGGGACGTGAAGAAGGCGGAGTGTGACGGAGACAACTGAGCGGGACAGACCCCTTAGCCCTTGTCCCGCAGTCCAGAGCCGCGGCGGGGACCAAGGACACACACTGGGGCAGGGGGGTCCTCACAGCACTGCCTCATCGGCTCCCTTGTGGCAGCCCCAGTTCTGAGGAGGGCATGGTCCTGTCCCCGACTCTGCCCCGGGACCTGTGGGGCACCCAGCAAGGCGGGCTCTGGAGAGGGGCCTCGTCTCTCGCCCTGGGGCACCTGACTCGGCGGCTGCGGCGGCGCTGGGCAGCCTCAGCCCACGGTGACGCTGAAGCCACAGTGGAACCTGTTGCGCCAGTGGTTGAGGAAGGCCCCGAGGGCGAGGGTGACAGGCAGCGGGGGCATCTTCTTCTCCAGCACCGCGCCCACACACCAGTTGCTGTCCACCAAGCCTGCAGCGGAGAGGCCGGAGACGGGGTCACTGAGCCGGCGCGGAGGAGGGGTCCGCAGGAGGGAGGCGGCGCTCCCCGCCCCCCGCCCTCCGCCCCCGCGGTGCTGTCTTGGCCACCCTCACCTCTGAACACCATGTTGGCCTGGGGCAGACTCAGGTGGTAACCAAAGGAGAAGGTCGTGTCCTGTAGCCTCGTGTTTGCCTCAAACTCCACGCCGACCTGAACCTGCGGACAGGGGTGGGAGCGGGGTGTGCGTCCGGGCGGACCGCAGGGGGCCGGCAGAAGTCCGCAGGAGGAGGCGCCTGTGAAAGCACGGGCAGCGCGGGCAGGAGGGACCGCAGGCGGGCAGGCCCGTGGAGGTGCAGGGCGGGGCAGAGCTCCCGACCGGCGTGCGGGGGCGGGGGCGGCGCAGTCCTCTCACCTGCTCATTGGCCCGGTGGTAGTAACTGGCATGGGCCCCGCCCGATCCCACATTCAGGGTGGCTACCCAGTGCAGGGCTGTGAAAACCAAGGGCGAGAGGAACGGAGCCTTAGGGCAGCGGGACAGGCCCAGAGGCCCAGCCACGCCCAGCATGCCCCTCCCCCCCGTACCCCTCCCCGTACCCCACCCCGTACCCCACCCCGTACCCGAGTACTTCCCCGCCAGCGTCAGGATGGCCCCCTCCTCGCCTGGCCGGCGGTGATAAACCAGCTCTCCTCCCAGCACCAGCCGATGAGTGAGGCTCTGCAGGAAGTGCGCCACCACGATCACTGGGCGGGGGACAGAGAGTCAGCCCTGGACACAGCGGCGCTGCCCTCTCCCCAGGGGCCCCGCCCGGCCTGCCCACGAGGTTTCTGGTCGAACCGCTCGGGGGACAGCTGATGAAGGGGCATGGCCAACGCCAGCCGGTGGGCGGCCACGGTGAAAAGACCCCTGCGCCGGTGTCTCACCGGACTCCCCGATCAAGTCGGGATTCCCCAGGGTCAGCGTGGCCGTGTAGTCGTCACCCCGGTACTCGCCGTCGAACTGCCAGGTCAGGAACTTGGACTGCTGCGTCTGGGTGGCGGGAGCGAGCAGTGAGTACCCCCCTACCCCCACCCCCACCCCCAGAAGCGGGGCATTCCCGGAGAAAGGGGGCCCTTGCACGGGGGCGGGCGCACGGGTCACCTGGAAGACGGCCTTGGCTCGGAGGCGTTCGGCCAGGAGGAGCAGGACCTGGGCGTTGAGGCTGCCGCTGCTGTCCAGGTCGCCTACCACAGTGGGGAAGACCTGTCCGAGAGCGCACACAGCTGGGGTCCCCGCGGCCCGAAGTCCCGAGCGGCGCGCGGTGCCCCCTAGGGGCGCCCTGAGGAAAACGCTCTCGCGCGGCGCTGGGTCCCTGCCCCCTGCCATCCACCGGCTCGCTCGCTCGGAAGCGGCCCGATGCGCAGGTGGGCGCCCTGCCCCTTCTCCCGCTAACGCTCGCACTGCCGCCCCCTCCAGGCGGGCTCTCGGGGAGGTGGCCCAGGGGTGTGGAGCCCTCACCTCAGTAGGGCTGAGTTGCCAGTCCCCTGCGTAGGCTGCGTGGAGGTGATAGCCGGGCAGTCCCAGGGCACTCAGGTGCACGGTGTGAGCCACCTGAGGAAAGAGGAGCCGGTGGAGGACAGCGTCTCCGTCCTCCGCCTCGCCCTGTGTCCTCTCCCCATCCAGGCCTTTTAAGAATCCCCAACACTCCTCCATACGCGGAGGGGCACCCGGGTGAAGGCCACAAGTTCCAGGGCAAGGGAGTTCAGGAGCCTCCCTCCTCGCTCCCCTCCCCACGGGGGTGGCCGCGGCAGGGGTGCGAAGGACAGGAGACAAGGAGGGGACAGGCAGGGAGGAGCCGAGAAGTGGGAGCACCTGGAAATGGCTGCTCAGAACCTTGTTGACAATGAGCTTCACTCCCTCCATCTGTCCCGGGAACACATCTGAAGGGGGAGAGGGAGGAATGAGTACAGGCGAGCAACCCCTCCCCCAGGAAGGAATCCCCGTTCCCTCCCACGGAAAGCGCTTTGGAGGAACTGACCTCCTTTCAGATCCTGCAACGAAACGCTCCACTCCAAATGCTCGGCTCCGCTGGGGCGCCGGTCCTGCCTGAGGCTGCAAGCCCCCGCAGCGATCTCCCCTTTCCCGAACACCCAGCCCTCGAGACCCCCCCCCCTCCTCGACGCCTCCAGCTGGAGACACCAAATGCCAAGTGCTCACCTTTGCACAGGCGATGCAGCTCATCGAAGCTCCCCGGGTTGGGCAGAGGCTCCTCTCGACGAGGGCTCCGGCGGGGCAAAGCCCCCAGCGGCGTCAGGCCCAGCGTGTTCCCCATTTCAGCCCAGGGGACGGGGGCACCGGGCTCAGCCGGGGGAAAGATGCTCTTCCTCCCTCTACCCAGCACGGGCCCCACCCCCCACCATCCCGCTCCCCAGTCCCCGAAACTTCCCCATGATCCGACACCAGACCTGGAACGAGAAGAGTCGGGGGAAAGGGCGCCGGTGGGGCGACTGGACCCCAGGCACAGCCCCGTCCCGTCTTCGATCCCTCGCCCCCACCTGTCACCCCGTCCCCTCCCCCACTGCGCAGCCCTAGCCCCACCGCAGAGCCCACCCAGCTTTCTGGCCTTCCCACTCCTCACCCCTAGGCCCCAGGGCGAGGCTTGCAACGCAGCAGGGGCCCTTACCGTCTCAGACCATCACGCTGCCCCTGTCCCCCCGGCACACCCCGGTCATCTTGATGGGGGCAGCCATCTTGAGTGATGGCAGAACTGCGGCTTCACGCGGCTTTCTTGGCGTGGTCACGGGCGCCATCTTGGGACCGGGCAAAAAAGCTTGTAAAGCCCCGACCCTCCCTCGATTCGGCCCCGCCCAACGTACGAAATAGACGCGGCCTCGATCGGCCAGGGGCCAATGGGAGAGGAGGAAGCAGGAGAGTGGCAGGCCTCGCGTCCGGAGAGCTCCAGCGCCGGCGCAGGCTGGAAGTCAGCTCCCGAGCGTTGGCCTTGGTCACACGGCCTGTCCGAGGTCGGGGGACCTGGGAGCGTGCAGGACTCTGGAGGGAGCATCTTGGAGCCTGGGCCGCGGACGCTCCCTCCGCTGTGCAGCTTGGAGAACTGCCTTTTGAGAAGAGTGGCGGAGGGAGGACTTCTTGCGAACCTGGGTTGCGTCGGCCCTCGGCGCCCCCATCCCCTGAGCCCCTGGGCCCCCTCCCCCAGCCCCGCATGGTGCTCTGCGCGCTGCTCGCCTTCACGGCCGCCCTGGGACACGGACTCCCACTCCCTCCTGCGGGCCCACGGCTCCCCAAGTTCTCTGCTTCCCTCTGAATGGGTCCCGGGGTGAGAGCGGGGGCTGGAGGAGCAGGGGCTGCAGCCTGGCTCCTAGCAGAGCTGAGCCCTGACGCAGCCGCCCCAGTGCCGAATCCTTCCGTCCCTGATTCCGCAGGCAGAGCTGGCCAATAACACCCAGGCCCACGGACCCCCGCCCCAAAGTGCGCCCCACCCTGGGGCCAGGCGGGAGTCGGTGGATGCCTTCCAGTAGCAAGGGCTCCGCGGGGAAGTCAGGGGCGCCGCATGAGACGTCGGGGGGGCTCTGGTCGCCCTCCTGTCGGGCCCTTGCCTCTCCCAGCCCACCTCTCAAGAATGTCCTACCTACACTTTGAGGGCAGAAGGATGAAAGATGCAAATGCTGATTTCACCCAAATGCCATGGGCCTGAGGAATCTACTTCCCTCCGTTACAGTCCGGGCTGGGGCCTTGGTGAGAGGGACCCCGTGGCCCCTGCCCGCTCATATTGGCTGGCTGCCACCTAGAACTGATAAGGTGACCCAGTGACCAGGGACATGCAACCTTTATCCTTTAACTTTGGCCTTCTTTCCTACCAGAGCCTTCCAACAGGGCAGGGGAAAGGCAGAGGCTACTTTCTGACTTTTGTTTGTTTGGGGGCAGGGTGCGCTCATTGGTCAGCACACAGGCCATTCTGGGCCCTCATGTTCCCCCCCCCCCCATTACACATTAACTCGAAAAGGGACAGTCGATCACCCACCCTCTGACCCTCACCCCTACCCCAAATTGCAACTCCTTTCTCCTGTTCCCCAAAACCTCTCTGCCAAGTTGCTGTGAAGGGGGGTCTGGTGAAGGAGGTGAAATCCACCCACAATGGGACAAAGGGACCGCGGGCTGGGGCCTCGACGTGTCCGAGCTTTCCAGAGAACAGCCGGTGACTGCTGCCGCACCCCCCAAAGGAACCGACGCGCCCCGGGCCTCCAGGAAGGCCTGCCAGCCACCGTCAGCGCACACCCCCCACGGTCCGCTCCTCCCCCATTTCTCCCCCTTGTTTACTCCAGCAAGGCCCCTGCCCCAACGCCCCTCCACAGCCCCGTCACCTGACAGCGGGGCGGGGAAGCGGGCTCATATATAGGCCCTGCCTCCCCGGCCAGGCTCGCGCCCGCCGCAGACACCAGCACCTAGGCACTGACCAGGTAGGGAGCAACAGCTGGGGGAGGCTGTGGGGAGGGCCCGGTCTCATGGTGGGGGGGGAGGCCAGGTTGGAGGGGCACCCAGGTGCGGTCCCTGGGGAGGGGCTGGGCCCCCTGCGCCCCACGTCCTCGCCCACCGCCCTGTGTGTGCAGGCCGCCCCTGCCGCTCCACCATGAAGCTGCTGAGCCTCGCGGTGCTGCTGCTCACCGCCTGCAGCCTCGAAGGTGAGTGCACGCTGGAGCGAGACCCGGCCGCCCTCCTGCCCGTCCGTCCTCTGTGCCCGGGCCTCGCGACCCCAGGGCTCAGAAGGAAGACCCCGAGCGGGAGACCAGTGGGGCCTGGGTCGTGGCAGAGGCGTCGCCGGAGGCTGAGAAGAGGGGTGTGTGCGTGTTTCTCTGTGCGCAGGGACTGTGGTGCGGAGACAGGCGGAGGAGTCGAGCCTGCAGAGCCTGTTCTCTGGGTACTTCCAGGCCGTGGCCGAGTACAGCAAGGAGCTGGTGGAGAAGGTCAACGGCCAGCAGCTCAAGGAGCAGGCCCGGTACGTCTCAGCAGGGGCGGGTCAGGGCCCAGGGGCTGTGGGGGGAGAGAAGGGAGGACCTGCCGTCCCACAGGAGACGGGGCCCGGGGGCAGGTTGGGGAGGATGAGCTTTGACGTGGAGAGAAGAGTTGCCTCGTCCCGGCCCCATGGCCCTGGGGACAGACGGGCCACGGCTGGGCTGGGGATTTCTGTCCCCAGGGCACATCCCTCTGCCCTGCGGAGGGTTGTCCCTGCTCCTGGGAGCTGCCAGCACGGACCAGGCCCTGGGGTTTGGGATCTCGGATCTCCCCGCCCACTGCCACCCAGGCCCCTGCCGCTGCCACGGGTCTCTCACGCTGACCTCTGACCCTCCCATCTCCAGGGGTTACCTGGAGGAGACACAGGAGAAGCTGTCACCCCTGGTCGAGAAGGCTCAAAGTGACCTGCTGACCTTACTTGGTTACTTCGTGGAGCTGAAACCGCAGCCCGATGCCCAGCCACCGGCAGCTGCGCAGCCCACGCCCGCCAGCCGCTAGAACGCCCTCCGGCTGGGCCCCCTCCCTCTCCACTCCTCGTCTCTGCAATAAATAGCAAAGGGAGCTCGGTCCGTGGCGAGCCTGGTGTTTTTAAGGACGGAGGAGGAAGGCAGAGAGGAATCCGGTGGAAGGGGGCTGGGCGTGGAGGGTGGAGGAAGGGTCCAAGAGACACATGTCAGAAACGGCCGGGTGGGTGCGGAGGAGTCTTCTGCAGGCCTGGGAACGGCCCTGAGCGGAGACCGAGGCGCCTTTGCAGGGACGAGGAACTAGGAACAGCATGAGAGGTTCACACGCTGAATCCCGGGCCTCCTGCAGGCCGCAGGAGCGGAGGACGTCCTCAGAATTTCCTCTAGATCATTCCGTGAAGGGGAGAAAACTTCCAAAAAGTGAACCCAGATGTGTCTTTCCAGGGTCCTCCCTTCCCTCCCAGCCCCCGTTCCCACAGTGAAAGGCGGGGGTCATTCCCCGCAGGCTGCTCTCCCCTGGTCCCCTGTCTGGGGACAACCTTCTGCACCCCCCCCCCATCTGGGTGCTGTTGTAGCCCTGGCCCGGTGGCCCTCTCAGTGCCTGGAGCCGGCGGGCCCGAGCCTGTTCAAGGCCCAGCAGGCCTCCGGCGCAGCGGCCGTGTGGGGCGCGAGGTGCTGGCAGCCACGATGCCCAGGTTCAACCAGGGTGGAAGGGAAGGCGGCCAGTGTGTGAGGCTCGTGGTCCCAGAATCAGGGCACGGGGACCCGGCGGCGCTTCCCAGGAAGCGTCCTTCCTGCCTAGCCTCCGAAATGGTTGTTTCCCTTCCCTGGCTCCCTTCTCTTCTCGTGTCGCACCTTAAATCCCCTTCCCGTGAGGCTCCGATTTCCTCTGCACTCGGAGCAACCTGTAGGCTGGCCTCCCCGAGCCCCACCCCTCGTGACCGCCTTCCTCCCCTCCTTTCCCAGGATGCGCTCTTCTCCTGTGCTGCAGTGTGAGGGGACAGTTCTCAGTCTGTCACTGACAGGATGACCTTGGACGGGTTAGACGTGAAAGAGCCTGAACCCTCACAAGGGCTCGTGACCCGAGCAAATGGCACGGGGAGCGGGAAACACACTTTGACAAGTGGGAGTCACTGTGAGGGCCGCGCGCTGCTCGGCAGAGGGGGCTGCTGCGCCCCAGGCCGGACCGGCCGTCGGGTGGGCTTCGAAGACTCGCAGGGACTCCCGCCTCCTGGCGGAGCCGGACACGGGCCAGGCACCCACAAGGGGGATCCCTTGCCACCCACCCATGCGCTCGAGGAGCTCGCCCCCCATGTGGACCTGGCTTGTCCCCTTTGCCTTGCCCCTGTCCGGTCCCCACCTGGCCCGTTGCGGCGTCTCCCTCCCCAGACCCTCTGAAGACCCACTGTCCCCCTGCGACCTTCCTTTGGGAGCGTCCCTCCTGCCTCCGCCACACCACCCCTCCTGTGCGTCTGTCTGCCCTCTTGGCCAGGCTGATGCCGCGGACACAGGGAGCCACCGCCCACGGCTCCCTGACGTCCACTGCAGTGGCGCTGGCCACTCTTTGAGGTTGGGTGACCCGGCTCTCCCACAACCCAGAAGTCATTTTTGGTGCAAATGTCTCTGAATGTGCCCAGAGTCCCAACACAGAAGTCCCTGCCCCTGTTCCACGCTAGAGACCCCGGGGCTCAGGGGCCGTGTCTGTGCCCCTCACAGGACGCATTCACCCCTCAAGCGAGCAAAACGGCCTGGCGTCTGGCCCTGTGCTCCGCCAGGTCAGGAATGGGGTCTGTCCTCCTCCCAACGGCATCTTTGGTGTCCAGCCTGGAGCCTCGCAGCGGCTCAGGGCGTGATCGCCGAGTGGGCGAATGAACGAGTGGTCTGTTCGGTGGCAGCTTTATTGGTGGCGTTCCCTTCCCATTGTTCAGTGGGTGCTGGGGGCGGGGCGGGGGGGTGCAGTCGGGGGGGAGACTAGAATATGAACATCAACGAGCAGCATCTGACCACAGGCCTTGGGCAGGGAGGACGAACCCGTGGGTCCGTCCGTGGGGGCACAGCGTCATCTCGGGGGTAGGCCCAAGGGCGTCAGTGGCGGAGGCACGTGCGGTGCCGAGGGCGGGGCTGGGGCCGGGACGGGAGCAGGAGGGGGCAAGACCCGGGGCCTCTGTCCTGCAGTCACTGTGGTGGTTTCTCATGCTTCAGGGTTTCGTACATCTCCTGGCTCCGGGGGCTCAGGCCCTGGAGGTGGAGGTCAGAGGACAGTCAGGAGCGTGTGTCTGGCCCAGGGCCACCCCCCCCACGGACCTTCCAAAAGCCACTCGGGGTCCACCCTCCTCTGCTGATTTCCAGGGATGGGGTGGGGCGGGCGAGGCCCACTCACCGTGTAAATGCCTTCTGACTTCTGTGGAGGCAAAGGAGCAAGATGTCAGAGACCCCCGCCTCCTTCGGGGCCCCCCACCTCTCCTTCCGCGCCCGGGGGTGGCGGCGTGTCCCCTGTGGTTTGGCCGGGAGGTGGGGTGGGCAGGCCGAGTGGGAGTGGGAGGGGGGTCTCTGAAGCTTACACGGGCCAGGACGCGAGACCCGCGCCTCAGGGCCTCGGCCCCTGAAGGGCCGAGTCAGCACACTGTTGACACCCCGGTGTGTGGGGGGAGGGCGGGGATCCATACCTGATAGGACACCGCTGCCTTTCGCACCTGGATCTGGAGGAGAGGTAAGGTCATCAGCAAAAGCCATGGTAGTGGCCCATCGCCGCCCCTCCCAACGGTGGGCTTCTCCGCAAAGCCACGCGCGCCCGCCTGCCCAGCCTCACCTTGAGTCGGCAGTAGAGCAGGGTGAGGATGATGCCATAGAGGAACAGGACGGCGTCCAGGATGTAGCAGAGCTGCGGCTCTCCCAGGGCCTCTGAGGGGAGAGACGGCGCCCGAGGGGTCGGCGTCAGGACGGGCGGGGGGCGGGGGCTCGGAGGGGCCTGAGGGGGTTCTCGGGGAAGACCCCGTGTCTGCGGCCTGGCTTCTTCTCTCTCGCCTTCCCTCTCCGCCCTCGCCCTAGGCGGGGGCCGCCTCCGGGGCCAGGGCTCTGCAGACTTGGACCACGCAGGCCTCACGCAGGAAGCGTGGAGGCCTTCCCTCAACCCCTCCCCTTCCAGCCCTGCGGGTTCCTCAGGCCCCATTGAGCACCTAATAGGCCTCAGGGGACTCTTCCCAGCGTGCTGGGCAGAGGCCCAAACCTCAGGGCGGAGGGGTAGGGTGAGGGGAAGGCGGTGACAAATTTCAGTGAAAAAAACCACAGCACTGTCTCTGCTCGGTCCTGTGACCTGTGGCTGAGGGCCGGACAGGAAGGATGTGAGCCGGGGCAGGGCGGGGAGGGAATTACTCTATTATTGGTCATCTCACCTCCCCACCCCCCCCTCAGATATGGCCAAAGAGAGCGTGGGCCTTCCCGGGCGGGGGGATGCGGGCGCCTCTGCCCCCAGGACTCCGGGGCAGGACCGCGCCTCGGGGCCTCTGAAGGGACGGGACTCGGCCCTGTTCCTCACGCCCTGTGCCCGAGAGGGGAAGTTTACCCAGTTCGAACACCCGACAGGCCGTGAGCGCCGTCTGCCCCCACCGCCCGCGCTCGTGGGCCGCGACGGGTACCCGTCTAGTACTTTGTTTTCAGAGGTGGTCTCTCACGCTCCATGTTGCATAAATCTCAAAACCACCCTGGGTGAGAAGCGTCGCCGCCATCTTAGGGGTGACGAAACCCAGGCTCAAGGAGGACCAGCAGCATGTTGGGGGCCCCGCTGTGTGACAGCCGGAGGGCAGATCCTGGTTTTCTGCCCCCGAAGGCTGGGGGCGCCCTTCTTCCATGCCGGCGCCGGCGCCCTCCTCCCGCCGGCGGCTCCTCCATCCTTCCACCTTCACAGCCGGTGGAGCCCCCGCTCCGCCTTCGGTTTCCCGTTTCCCTTCAGTTTCACTAACCCCATTCTCCCCAACCCCCGTCCGCAACCGTCCTTCTGGAAAACGTTCACGCAGGACGCCCCGGAGAGCCCGCGAGGGTCCATGAACCGACTGCCGAGACCTTCCCGTTTCTGCCTCGGTGTCTCTGCGGACGCTCAGGTCTCTGGAATTGGGCATCGCGGCCGCCCACCGCCTGCCTTCCGCGGCTCCCGGGAGGAGACCGTCACGGGCGACGCCCCACAGAAGCGGCAATCGCGTCTGCTCGACCGCTCTTGCCCGCCTGAAGGGACTTTATAAATACGACTTCACCGGCTAGAGGTCAGCTCCCGACAGGCAAGGCCACAGGCACCCACAGGAAGTGCAGCCTTTCCCAGAACAGCCTCTTATGCCACACGCTCCCCGCCCCGCCAGCTGGAGCCTTCGGTGCACCTGTGCCCTGAGAAAGTAAGACGGGGCCAGGAAGGGGGGCACCACGGGCCCCGCCTCAGGGTCGCTGCGTCCCGCTGCCCACGGCCGGCCTCGCTCCGCGGGCCCTGCCTCGCCGGCCCCCACATGCCCTCCACTCCCACCTGGGAGCGCCAGCTCACCGTCCCGGGCCAGGCCCTCTCACCTGCTTGTTCAACCAAAAGGAGCAAGAGCAGGACCGCGGCCAGGACCATGGTGGCCAGGGCTGAGGGGCGGTGAGCGGGATCGCAGCTCTGAGGGCGCAGCTGTGCTGGGTGAGAAGCTCCCTGACCACAGAGTTCCCCCCTTCCTGCCACGCCTCCCCCAGCTCTGGCCCCTTCCCCTTCCTGCAAGAGACCAGGCGGCTCCCGGAAGGGCCTACTATGGGAGCCAGCGACGTGGGCTCTTCCGCCTCGGTCATCCCGTGGCTGGAGCTGTGCCACCACAGGCTGAGGGCACTGCCGGGCTTGGGGAAGGCCCTCGAACCCGCCTCCTCGCACCGGCCCTGGTCAGAGACACGTCTGTGGTCACCTGCCCCCAGCGACCCGCTAGGGCCCACAGGAGCCCGCTCCCTCCCACCTGAAGCGTCACCTCCAGCCCTGATTTGCGTGTCTGGGCAGCATGCCTGGGCATGGGGGGGTACCCAGGAAAAAAGAGGAAATGGGGAATGGAGAAGTGGGAAGGCCAAGAGTCAGACGAGGGCGGAGATGAACAGGAAATGCTGTGAAGAACTGAGTCGGAGAAGGAAGCGCGGGATTGGCAAACACTGAAGTTTCCCATGAAGACTAGAGACGGTAAGACGTTGAGAAAGACAGCCCAGAGGTTTTGGCAGAGGGGCCAGAAGGCGGCTAATTTATTATAGTTCCTCCATTTCTGCAACAGGCAGGCACAGAGAGCCTGACAGCCGAGTGTCACGTGCACACACAGCCCCACTTCCAGGGACGCCGGGCTCTGCACAGGACACCGGGAGGCCGGGAGACGAGCGCTGGCACCCTGCTCACCGGTCGACCTCGCCAAACACAATATCCTGGGTACCTGGGGGGGGGGGGGGGCGGACAGTGGCGTCATCCAGGACCCACCCTTCTCTGTGCCCAGGAGACTGGGGAGCGGAGTCCACGCCCAGGGTCTATGCAGAATAGGAAGTGTCCAGATTCCGCCCCCAGACAGAGCCCCAACGCCCCTGTCCACACAGCAGCCTCGTACCTATGATGGCCACCACGTCCGCCAGCATGTGTCCCTTCGACATCTTGTCCAAACCAGCCTGCGGGTTGAGAGCAACAGGGTCAGGCGAGGTTATCAGGGTCGGAGTTCACAAGAATCTCGGCCAGAGCCAGTCGCCGCCGGGCGCGCTCCTTACCAGGTGGGCAAAGCCAGGAGCCTTGATCTTGCATCGATAGGGGCGGCTGCTGCCGTCAGATACCAGGTACACCCCGAACTCGCCCTGCCCGAGAGGAAGGGAGGCTGCCGCCACCAGCAGCGGGAAGCTCCCCGCCGCCGCTACGCCCTCCCTCGCTGCCGCCGCCTGTCTTCCCTCCCCCCTCACCTTGGGAGCCTCGATAGCAGTGTAGGTGGCACCCGGAGGGACCTGGTAGCCCTCTGTGTACAACTTGAAGTGATGAATCAGGGACTCCATCGACGTCTGGGGAGGGGACAGGGAGCATCAGAAACTGGCTCCCAACTGTCTCGCCGGCCGTCCCCCAGCAGAGGCGCATCCTCTGCCCCCGGGAGACTCGGAAGGGAGCAAAGAAGAGGCCGAGCGAGAGGCGCACTCACGCAAAGAGGCCTCTGCAACCGCTGAACCCCAGGGCACCCCTCCCCGGCCGCCAGCCCCTCCAAGACCCCCAACGTCCGCCTGCAGCCACCTTCATCTTGGCTCGCCGGGGCGGAGACACCTTGGCATCGTCAACCTTGATCTCCCCGGGAGGCATCTTGTTCAGACACTGCAAGATGATGCGAAGGGACTGGCGCATCTCCTCCACCCGGCACAGGTACCTGCAGGGGGCGCGATGGACTCAGGGCGGAGGCGCCTCGGCGGCCAGACGGGGCGCTCTCGGCCTGCGGACAGCGCTGGGCGCCCCCCACGCCCTGGCCGAGCACCGCCGCCAGAGCGCCTGAGCCGGCGGGCTCCGGTCCTGGGCTGTGCCCAGGTATCCCCCCGAGTCGCTCAGACCCTGCCTGGCAGCAGCTCCCCCTTCAACCACCCTCGTGAGACACTTTCCGGACGACGGAACGAGCGAGACTCAAACAGCCTCGAAGAGAAAACAGCAGCAAATCTTATTCGGGGTCTGGGAATGGGAGCGGATTTTGAAGCTTAGACTCTAGTGGGAAGAGTCTGCTCGGGAGGAGTCTAGTCCCAACACGAACGGAACGGTCCCGGCGAATCCCCAGCCCCAACGGCTCGACTCCCTCAGCGACAAAATGCGGCCCCAACTAGCTCTACCTCAGACGTGGGCGCCCTGAGAGTAAAATCAGGCGTCGGCCATGTGCATGTGCTTCGAGAAGCGCCAGTTTTACACACAGGTAAGAAAGGAGGTGAAAGGAACGTCCGGGGACCCCAGCTGGGCCGGGAGCCAAGGGGGCACTGCGGCCGTACCTGTCATAGCAGTCGCCTCGGGAGCCAATCGGGACATCGAAGTCCACCTGGTCGTAGACGTCGTAGGGCTGGGTCTTCCGCAGGTCCCACTGGATGCCGGAGCCGCGCAGCATCACCCCGCTGCAGCGGGTGGACAGCGGTGGGGTCACCGCTCGCCCAGGAGGGCCCCCCCGCTCGCCCCCGGCCCCTGGGCGCCACTCGCAGGCTGGACACCCGCCCCCAGCAGGGAAGCCTGCTCCGCACCTGAAGCCGTAGTTAAGTGCGTCTTCTGCGGTGACCACCCCGATGTCCACCGTCCGGTTCCGCCAGATCCTGTTGTTGGTCAGCATCTGTTGGTCAAGAAAACACCCTTCACCCTTCAAACTGCTTTGTGTCTCTTTAGAACGGGGGGCCAAAACCCCGTAAGTCTTCTTTCAAGAGAATATGGAGGAGCTTTTCCCAATGACTCCTATCTTACCTCCTCCAGCTCATCGATCCGAAGAGAGAAGTTCTTAGAAAACTGATAAATGTCATCCATGAGCCCAAGGGGCAGGTCCTAGAAGCCAGAGGGAGGGCGACAGTGAGCACAGCTGGCCCCGGGCCAGGGTGGCAGGCAGCTCCCCCATCTGCCAGTGCTGCCCCCTGGTGGCCGCAGAGGCCGCGGCCGGGACTGCGGCGGGCGGCGCTCACCTGGTGCACACCTCCCGGCCGGATGTAGGCAGCGTGCATCCGAGCCCCCGACACGCGCTCGTAGAACTCAAACATCTGGACAGGACACACGGCGAGCTGTGGACACACGCCCGGGCCCCTGCGCTGGGGCACACGGCGGCGCAACCGCCCCCCGCCCCCGCTCCGCCCCCGCCAGAGTCCCTCAGGCCAGAGCCAGGTGACGGACACCTCCCCGGGGAGGCTGCCGCTGTGTCCTCTCTCCCTCCAGCCTCGTTTCTCCCTCCCGCCTTCTCCTCAGCCTCCTCTCCTCCCCATTCCCACTCTTCCCTCCCCCTCATACCTTTTCTCTTTCCTCAAACATCCAAAAGAACGGGGTCATGGCCCCGATGTCCAGGGCATGTGTGGTCACAGCCATGATGTGGTTCAAAAGCCGTGTGATTTCCCCAAACAGCACTGCGGAGAAGGGGGGACAGGGACAGGGCCAGGGACCCCGGCTGAGAGCAGCCCTGGGCCGTGCGCGGGGCCTGCGCCCTGAGCCTGGGCCCTGAGCCTGGGCCGCGGGGGAGGGCCGCGCGTACCTCGGATCCACTGCGCCCGCAGCGGAGGCTGGATGTTCAGCAGCTTCTCCACAGCCAGCGAGTAGGCCTGCTCGTTGCACATCATGGACACATAGTCCAGCCGGTCGAAGTACGGGAGGGCCTGGGCAGAGGGAGGAGCCGGTCCCACTCAGGCCGGGGCAGACACCCAGGCCGGGGCAGACACCCAGGCGGCAGCGGCAGGGAGGGGCCACGGCCCTGAGGCGCCTGCCAGGCTCCTCCGTGGAGAACTCCAACGGGGCAGCTCTCAGCTACTCGGGCCGCGTGGCCACACACAGCGGTTCCAGCAGAAGGCAGGCACCCCCAGGGCGCACGCAGCAAATGCGCGCGAGCTCCAAGTCCTTCCTCCCTTGGTTTTTAATATAACACAGTGCATGGTGAACTAATATAATTTTAACAGTGCAGCCGTTGTTAATTACTGGCTCGCAAAATTCCTGGAAATTTAACAATCTGCCCTATGACCCAGGCTGAGCCGGGTCCAGCGCCCCCCTGCCGACCGGCCTCCAGGCCCTCAGTCTCGGGGGCCGCAGTCCCCGGAGGTGCGGGCGCAAGGAAGCCGGGATGCGTTTCAGGCAGGGATGGTCCTCCCGCGAATGCCCGGAACCGAGTCCCGGCTGTCAGCTGCCAGGAGGGAGGCAGAGCTGAGGCGCGTCACCTCCTCGGCACAGCCAGTGCTCGTCCTGACGTCACTGTGACGTGGGGCTAGGCTGCAGGGAGCACCCCAGGGCCAGGAGCCGCCGCTGCCCGGAGCCTCCCTGGGGACCGCAGTCTGGTCCGCGTGGGGCTGGCACTGACCCACCATGCCCTCGTCAAGGCCCTTCTCCACGGCAGCAGAAAGGACACTTCGGACTCCGACCCTGTCCGCTCCTTCAACTCTGACCCTCCCCGCCCGGGTCCTGTCGTTCTCCTAAAAGATGGCTTTCACAGACTCCCTCCCGGTCGCTCTGACTCACCGAGGGTTTCAACAACAAACTCAGACAATACAAGAATCAGCTGCTCATGCTGGGGAGCTGACGTCTCTCTGCCCCCCCCGTCTCTGCCCCCAGGGACCCCAGCTTTGACGTCTGCGATGTAAGAGCAGAGAAACTGAGGCACCACAGGAAGGGCAAAGGGGGGCCGAGTCGGTCAGAGCAGAGCTGGGCGTGTAGCTCTGGCTGCAGAGCATTTCTGCCAGAAAAACCAAGTCCAGATGTCTCAAGTCAGGCATCCACTGCGACACCCCTCCCCCGCAACCGAGCCGGTCCCCACGACCGCAGCCTGTCCGGGCCCCCCCACGCCGAGTTCCGGGGGCAGCCGGCGGCCCCAGCCCCGGCCCCGCGCCCACACCTGCAGGTAGGTCTTGTGCTCGATGAGCTTCTCCGTGCCCCGGTGCAGCAGCCCGATGTGGGGGTCGCATTTGCGCACCATCTCCCCGCTGAGCTCCATCACCAGGCGCAGCACGCCATGGGCGGC